TCCCCTGGAGCAAATGGAAGAAGAGAATGTGCTCCATGTCTTCGGCTTCGGCGGCGGCGCGGAGGCCAGTGTTTGACGAGAAGGAGGATGGTGAGTACCGCGCGCTCCTGCCTCGGCTGCTCGGCCACCTCAGGGCCCTACGCCTGCGCCCCGCCTGGCAGGGTGCGGCCGAGAACCAGCCCGGGGTGCTGCTCCGGGCCGGCCAGGAGTGCTGGTCGGGACTACCCTGGACTGGAGCTCGCGCAGGGGCTGGCGGCCTCCGGATTGGGATCTGTGGGAAGGAGCTGGATGTGGGTGTGGACTCCTCTCGAGGTCCCAGGAACACCGCGGCCACCTCTGTGGGACGATGTTGCTGGGCATGTCTATTTCCAAGGAAACCCTAACAGCTTTAGTCCCACATGTGTCCAGTGAGTCTACCCGTATCCTCCATGTCAGGTGGCGGCGCTGCGCGTACAGCAGCCTCGGTCAGCCTGGGACGAAGGTCTGGGCTAGTACTGGGGTCCCCGCCGTGGAGCGAGCTGGATTTGGTCGGCTTGCTTTCGGGGCCTGTGCCTCCCCATACCCGGTCCGTCTACGCTGCTGCGGGCGCTGACCAGTGCTGTGTGAGGAGGTCACGCGTGCACAGCAGGTGCGAGGGCGGGCGCGGCCCCACCGAGTGCACGTGCGTCTCCCACCTCCTGGTCCAGCCGAGACCCCGGCTTTTGCAGTGGAGGCGGCCCTTTGGGAAGTCGTCTGCGCCGAGGCCCGCCTGAGTGTGAAGCTGCCAAAGAAGAGGGTGGGTACGGATGGCTCTGTGGGAAGTTGGGAAGGGCCGGGGACACGCGCAGGTGTGCCAGCAACCTGAAGGGGCCTTGGACTCAGCAGAGGAAAAGGTGGCGGTGCCCTGGGGCCTTGGGAGGAGTCCACACCACATCCAGCTCCTCTCCACAGATGCCCAGAGATAATTTAAATGGTGCCAGGGACACACTTGATAATTTTTTTAACATTTTCTTAAAATAACTGAAATATGCATTTTCGTTTTAGGCAGCCTGCAGAGGGATGACAGATCTTATATCATCCTAGAGCGCAGCTTTGGAGAACAGCCGGCACTATTTATTTCTAATAAATAATTTATAGTTATAGGAAATGGCCGTGCTGGGCCCTCCAGCCAGTGCTGGTGAACAGCGTGCTGCCCTGTGGACCTGGCAGTGGCTTGATGGGGTGGGGGTGCTCTGGCCCACTCAGCAGGGCCACACTCTGCAGTGGACCCTCAGAGACTCTCTCCATTCCCACACGTGGCACAGCCGGGCCTTCCTTCCTCTTAGGAGACCCCTGTGTCATGAATAGTCATCAGCATCTGCACATCTGTATGTACCCCCCCCCCCAGATCCCCAAAGGACTTAGCGCCCAGAATCAGCAATGAACTAACCAGAAACAGCTCAGCTAGGGTGTGAATGAGGATGCGAGGGGCCTGGAATCCTCTCTGCTCGGCACGAGGTCAGCTGAAGGGACCCTAGTGGAGCAGTGTGTGTGTTCAGGCTGCAGACTGAAATGACTGAATGGTTGAATCTAACAGCTGTTCCAAGGGAGAGGATTTATGGTCTCGGAAAGTGGAGGAGGTTTGCGTGGGAACAGTGGCTGTGAGGATAGGTTTTGGATCAGCTGGATGGAGGCCACACTCCTCTTCAGCTTGGCTGAAGCTGAGGGTGGGATTAACACCTGGCATCTCCACTGTGTCAGGACTGAGGATTTGTGGATCTTCAAGACGTAGGAAGAGCTGAGAACCTGTGTGTGTCCCTCACTTACCAGGGTTTGAGTGTGGTCTGCATGGGGGCGAGCAGAGGTTGGGGTTTGGCTCTCTGGCCTTTGGGTCTCTGAACTGTGATGGCTGGTCATCACAGTGCAACATGGCCATGTCCCCATGTTGAACACAGCACACTGACTTACTGGCCTCTGAGACTGGAGGCCAGGACGGGCCCTGTGTCATGGGATATCCTCACGGTGAGTGGACAGCCATTTAGTGCTGCTTCTGCATGTGACGGTGATGAAGCAGTCAAAACAGGCTCTGCTTTAGGACTATTTGCAGCCCTTTGCGTGAAGCAGAGGGTTATTGGGGCTGGAAGGAAGCTGTATTTAAGAGGGAGAGGGCCTCCGTGCAGGGGGCCTCCTGCCTCTCTATGGGCCACTGGCTGCCCAGTCACTACCTCCTGAGGCCCCGCCACCCGCTGAGCTGCTGACAGGAGCAGCCTGGCGCCGCCTTAGCAGGATTGCGTGGTTGCTATGGAGATGCGAGCCCGTCTGATGAGTTTTCAGATTAAAACATCCAATTAATAGATCACATTTGGTATGCAGAGAAGAGGAAAAAAGGAAATAAGAGGGCAATTTAACAAAGTGCCAGGTAAATTTCAAGCAAAAAATACAGTTGTGACATGCACAAGCTCAAATCTGCTTGGTTCCTGCTAAGCTCGCGAAGCCTGTGAGAGCTAACAGGGTTTTCAATACCGGGGAGTTCTTGGTGCTCATTCACAATCCCCTGCGCCTTGTCCGCATGCTGGAGACAGAGCACCCTCCTCCCCTGTGACCGCCCTCGAGCTGGGCAGTGCTGGGCAAGCCCTTTCCTTCCTCAGGGTCTTGAGGCCCCTAGTGAGAGAGGTAGCTGAAGGGTGCGGAACAGGGTTCCATTGTCCTCCCTCGGAGAAGCCCTGCTGGAGCCCCAAGTCGTCCAAGGCCACCCCAAACACAAGTTCTGCAGGTTTTGTAAATGATGACTTTAAAGAATAGATTTCTTCCTCACAACTGCGGAGCTGCTGGTCCACATCAGCGTCTTGACCGTAAACTCCGCCTTCGGCAGATGCCCCACCGTCCTGGGCACTTGCTTTGTAGAGGAGTGGCCATCTGGCCTCTGTCTTCCTCACCGGGCCTTTGGTTTGCTGGTGTTTGGTGCCACAGAGTTGGCTCAGACTCAGCGACCCCTGGTTAAAGAGAACGCAAGGCTGCCCGCTCCTCCTCATGTCCCTGCTCGGAGCTCAGATTCAGGGGTACAGCCACTGCATCCGTCCCTCTCGTTGAGGTCTTTCCTCGCTGACCCTCTACTTACATCCTGTCCAGACAGAACATGACCATGTATGTGAGACCAAGTCCCACCCTCTGTGCTTTGTCCAAGACAGATTTGTGTGTTCCTTTCACAGCCCCTGGTCACTTCAGCACTCTTCAGCACCACAGTTTAGAGGCACCAGTTCTTGTCTGCTGTTTCTGCAGCACACAAGTGATTATGTTTAGGATATCTACACTGGCATAAAGGAGCTCTGGTGGCTTAGTGGTAAAGAATGGCACTGCCAACCCAAGGGTGTGCAGTTCGAGTCTACCACTTGCTCTGCAGGAAAAAGAGGGACAGTCTCCTTCCGTGAGATTTACTGGCCCTGAAAACCCGCTGGAGGGTCGGTTCTGAGTTGGTGGTACAACACTGGCATGACCTCCTGACCCTCACAGACCATAATGCCCCTCAGAATCACACTCACAGGTGTGTGGAGGTAGGGTTCTGGTAAACAGTTTTGGGGAACCCAGTTCAGTCTGTCAGAGGGCCTAACCCTGACAGCACTGGGAAGGTTAGCTTCTGCAAAAGGAGAGGAAAGAACATGAGGGTGGCCGAGTCCACCTCCTGCCCACTTCATAAAGGGCAGCTATTCCCGTCAATAATATCGATAGCAGCACACAGAGAGCTACCCTGTCAGCCCTCCCCCTGCCATGCTCTGCACCTGTTTTCACCAAACATACAGGTTGTGTATTCCTTGTTGACTCAATATACTTTACTCACAGCTGTGGTATCAAGAGTAGAGTTTATTAGGGAAATAGGTTGGGAGTGAGGAGGCAATGGATATCTCATGATGCAAGTCCAAATTTCATCCAGCAGTCCCAAAACCATTCCTTAATTAGTAAAAGTCCTGATTTCAGTTCAGCAACACAAAGTCATGAAGCTTCTGGTTTCCTCAATCATCCAGCAAGGTTTGCTTCAGAGCAGTTATAAGTCAGCTTCTTCATCAAGCATCTGGCAAGAAGAGCAAACTTTTTAACTGTGACCTTTATTTCAGGACTCTTCTGGTTACACCTCACCACAGTCTCTCCACAGCAATGCTATAGTCTCTCCACCACCACCACCACCACAACCACCACCATGGTCTCGCTTTCACCAGGGTTGCCCCAGTCTCCCTCAAGTCTTGCTGCCCAGTATGGGTCTGTTTGTCTGTCTGTCTGTCTGTCTGTCATCCTAGTCCCACAGCTGTTGATGATTTGCAAGATCATTTGTCTGCAGTTAAGGCAGCTGGAGATCGGAGGAGGCTAAAGTAATGGCTGGAAAAGGCAACTTTTAAGCTAATCCCACAGCTTCCCTCTGGGAGAACTGAAATCCCAGCAGCCCTTGGAGAATGGTGTCCAGGATGGAGTGGGCAGTGGGGTGAGACAGGGACACACTACACCTTCTTTATTATTAGAGTTTTTGGTTTTTCCTTATTAGAAGAGCATGAAAATGTAGATAAAAACTTTTAAACTGTAGTTGACTGTTTGCTAGATTTTTTCTGAACTGGAAAACACAGCCCCATGCAAGTTCAGCTCCAGAGGTTGTGGGTGAGCCCCTGTGCCCCGGAACACAGCCATGGAGCTTCACTGAGGCAGGCTTGTGCCATGCAGGGATAGGATCATGTCTGAGGCGGCTTCATGCTAATCTGCTTTTCCACTTAGCCAGATGTCAAAATGCCTTTGCTGCAGATTGAAAACAGTATTTATTGGCTGAATTTACAGCAGCAGTTCTCAACCCTGGCTGAGACAGACACTCATAGGGGCCTGGACTCTACCTGCAAAAGTGGGGATGTGGTGTTGGAAGGCAGTGACAGTGGGCTTTGAGGCTGGCCCTCACCTCCCGAGGACACCGCTGCTGTCTTCACCTGTCCAGCTGTGGGCAGAGTAGACTGAGGGCAGGGACATGGTGACTCTGCCTCTGGACAGTGTTTCTGTCGGTACCGTCTGGCCTAGCCCCAGGGGCCTGGATAGGGATCTCCCGTGGCCACCTGGACGGCCCTGGGCCTCCTGAGCTTTTTGTGTGATAATTGTCAGCTGTG